GTCACAAATGAAGTCCAAGGATGGCTTCCGGCCCATCCTGCGGTCTCTGACCTGGTTACTAAGCCCAGTCCACCAGCCCCCTTTCCCAACACCTGCTCTTGCCCTCTGAGTGTGCATTCTTCAAGAGCAGATCTAGGAGGAAGGGGGTTATGGGTGTGTGGGGGGCAAGTCAAATTTAGGTCTTTGCTCATGAAATACTTGCCCTCACCAAGAGCTGTTCCACAGCGGGGTGGGCAGCCCCAGGGTGCCATGGGCTCCCCCTCCTGGGAGGTCTTCAAGCAGACAGGTCTAGGGGAGGCTGGGGAGGCGAGGCACAACAGGCAAGGGTCTGGAGAGCTGAGGGTTCCGGGGGAGGAAGAGCCAGAGGAGGTGGGGAGGGCAGGCTTGAAGGGTGAATGTTTGGGAGGGGGCAGAGAGAACAGAAACGGGGATGGGAGACAGGGCAGGAAGATAAGGGCAGGCACAGCTTTGGCTGGAAGAGGGCAGCCTCTTCCCCTAGCCTGGGAGGCCAAGGCTGTGTGGCTTTTGAACCTTGGGGAATGGTCACTCAGAGAAGTCAAGGCAGGAAGAGAAGCCCCTTGAAAAGTGCCTTAAAGGGGACGGAGTCTCAGGGATTAGGTCAAAGCCCACAGGGAAGGCCAGGAGCCCAGGGCTGAGGGTCAGCTCACCTTGAGGGCCCTTTCACTGCAAGCATAGGAACTGGAGTGGGGTAGAGGGCAGTGAGTGGTGAGAACCTGGAAGCACCCAGTGTAGACATTCTTTGAGGACACAGCAGGCTGCAGGGAAGGGCTTTTTATTGTTTGATATTCTAGTTCTCATGCCTAGCACCTATATAAATGTCCCATATATAGCTTCTTGGGATTTTAGTAAAACTCGGAGTCCTTCCTTATTTGGTTCCCAGGGCAGGGTAAGGGTAGGGCAGATTTTGTGGATGAGTAAACTTAAGGCCTAGAGAGGGGAGGTGATCTTCCCAAGATGACCTAGGAAGTGAGCGACTGAGCTGGGGTGTGAGCCCAGACCCTCCAACTCCAAACCCAGCGTCTGGGCCATTATCCCACAGCTGTCTAGGTAGGGTGGGAGGCAGAGGCTGGAGGTGAGAGGATTCAGGGGAAATAGGCTGGCAGTTGGAGGTCCCAGAGGAGGCTGAATTCAGGGCCCAGGAGAGATATTACAACATTATGGATGTAGAAATGGTTCTTAGATGGTTCTGGGGACCTTAGAACCTAGAACCCAGGAAGTCAGAATTCAGAGGGTCCTGAGAACCTCACGAAGAGAACATCAGACATAGGGTGGCACTTAGAACAACATGACTGTCAAAGCTGTGTGGGACATTGGAGATTGTGTTGTCTGGATTTCATTTAATGGTGGAGAAAACTGAAACCCAGGAAAAGTTGTCCCTGCCTTTGAGGGATGGAGGAGAGTGAAGACCTGGGGCCACTTTTGAAATGGAAGAAGGGCTGGGCCTGCAGGCACCCAGGCAGATACGTGATGCCCAGTGACTAGGCAGGAGGACAGGCAGCAGGGGAAGCTCATGGTCAATCAAAGAAGGCTTCCTGGATTGGAGAGGAAGTGTTGCCAAGGTGTGCCCTTAATGCCAGGAATTGGGCTATAATAAAACAGACCAAACAGGGCTTGCCTTTCAGCTTACATTCTCTGGTTCAGGTGGAGCCCAGGCAGCCCTGCTCTGGGCTGGAAAATGACCAAAGGTCAGCTGCAGTGCTCTGAGGTCAAGGATGAGTCAAGGATGGTGTCTGTCTCTTATCTCTGTCCACATCTTAACAGTCTCTCCCCTTCTCGCCTTGGCAGATAGTCAAGTTTCTGTCTCTTGGGCCTGCCTGTGTGCCCCAATCTGCCTCAGTCTCTCTTACAGCTGAATCACTCCATCTCTTTTTAGAGAAGTACCCTTCCCCCCTCCCCCAATCCCTGCAGCCAAAGTTATTGAGTATTACAGACCCACCCTTCTGGGTTGGGGGAAGATGGAATTTCCAAAGGAGGGTAGCCATGGGCAGCTAGGTGGTACAGTGGATAGAGCACTGGCCCTGAAATCAGGAGGACCTGAGTTCAAATCTGACCTCAGACCAAACACTTGACACGTACTAGTTGTGTGACCTTGGGCAAGTCACTTAACCCTGATTGCCTCACACAAAAAAAAATAAATAAAATTAAAAAATAAAAACAAAGGAGGGTAGCTGGTAACTGTGTGATAGGACAATGGGTTGAAAAGACTGGGGATGTTAGCCTGGAGAAAACAAGGGGATGAGGCAGAAGAGGCAAAAGGGATTGTGGTTTCAAGCAGCTAACAGGATGTCATGGCCTTAGAAGGTGGAACCAAGAACCATGGGGGAAAATTGCCAAGAGGTCCTTGGACGACCATTAGCCATGGACATTGTACAATGTACATGACTGGATGGTGCTAAGCAGTCTTGGGGTGCCACCCCGGTGTACGCCCCTCACTTAGGAGGAGGGAGTTCAGTGTAAAGGAAAGGCCCCTGGGCTGGGAACTAGCACACCCGAGTTCCGGTCTTGACTACTACCTTAATTAGGTGGGTGGCTTTGGGTAAGTCCTTTAGCAGCAGTAGGCCTCAGTTTCCCCACCTGTAAAATGAGAAGGGTGGACACAATGATCTTTAAGGACTGAGGAGTCAGTGTGTTGCTGCATCAGGGACTGGCTCCATCTGGGGTCACTCGATGCTGGTTCCGTGCCACCCCTCCCCCCCTCTTTTTAGGGCCCTCCTGGGTAGGTTCCTTCTCTCAAGTCTCAAGTTCAAGGTGTAATGGGAGGAAAAGGGATGGTATGTCCACAGAGGTAAGATGGACAGCTGTAGACAGGCTGGCTGGGCCCCCCAAGACCACATTTCTGGGGAGGTGGGATGCCAGGGGCAATGCTAGATGTGTCAAGAGACACAGAGGCAGCCTAGAGAGCTGGAGGAGGCCTTCGATCAGTCTCTGAATAGAAGCCTCGACTGGCAGACCCTCCAAACAGCTCCTCTGCGGTGGGGGCAGCCCTTCCTTCCGAGAAAAGACCAGGGCTGCGCCTTCCTCCCAGACTAGGTCTTCCACCCTCCCTTCCCTGCCCTCTATCCTCCATCAAGTCAAGCCCTTGGCAAACACTCCACCCACTCTACGTCCTGCAACACCCTGGCACCTGTGTGTTTGGGGTGGGGGGTGGAGGAGAAGCAGGTTGCTCCTGGGCCTGCCAAACCTCAGGCAAATCAGCTCCTGGCACCAGACCCAGCTGGCAGGCTGGGGGGCGGGGAGGGGGAGTGGCGCAGTCCCTGACTTCTTGTAGGCCAGTCCCCTTGTGTCTCTCCACATGACTCTGGTCCTGGGCCAGCCCTCTTTGAGCTCAAGGACGTGGGCTAGGGGACTTGTGTAGTAGGGACAAAAGAAGAGAATCCCCCCCTTCTGAGCAGCCCCTCAAAATGGGACTTCCCCTGACTCCATTCCTTGGCAGGGGCAAGGGGAGGCAGGGTAGAAAGGAGATCAGAGTGAGGACAGAGTAGGCACAGAGACAGGGGAGAAAACCAGACAGGTTGAGCCAGAGACCAGAGACAGAGTGAGGGAGAGAGAGAAACAAAGCCAGAGAGATAGACACAAATTGACAGCCGAGATGGGAGAACCGGTCAGGCCAGCTGGGTAACGGTGGCCGCTTTTGACCTTCCTGCAACCGAAGTCTCTTCTCCTTGGGTCAGCACCTCACCAAGCCCAGCAAACTCCAAAGAGGAGGCAGCTCTGAGCTGCAGCTCCCAGGCACCCTGGAAATGGGGTCTCTCTTGGGTGTCCCAGGAGTGGAGCAGGCTAGGTGCCCTCCACTCCCAGTTCAGCCCCAGGAGAGGGAGCTGTGAAGCACTCAGCAAAGGGACCAGCTTCCCCGTTGCCCAGGAAACCCCAGCCATGCCCAGGTGGGGCAAGAGCCAAGCCGGGCTTAGCGGCCTAGTATTTTAATGGTGTTCCAGCTCAATGCTTAGGCCCTGGGGGGGGCCAGGCAGCTGGGCCAGCTGGGGCCAAAGTCCCCCTAGGAACCTGAGCTGGAGAAAAAAGGGGCAGGTGGGTGGAGAGGATGCCAGTGGGTCCCTCTCACTCTCAACACTTTGTCACCTACCTGGCCCAGCCCATTATCACAAAACCACCCATTCCCCTGCAGTCAACCCCCAGCTTGAGCCCTAAAAAGGAGTGAGCTCTCTGGGTTTTGCTAATGGGAAAGGAATGAATCACCCTCTGAGGACCAAGCCCTTGGTCCAATATCTCACCCTGAGAGTGACTAGGATTGGATTTTGATGGTCCAAGGAGAGAATGCTCCCCACTGCCTAGGCTAGCAGTGTCTGCCTCTCTTTCCTCATCTATAAAATGGGGATAATAATAGCACCTCCCTCCCAGGATTTTTGTGAGAACTGAGAGAACATTTGCTTAGCATGTGCCTGGCACACAGTAGGTGCTTAAATATTTGTTTCCTTCTCCCTTCTTTCTGCCACTTCCTACTAGCATGACTTTGGACATACCTGTCTTGCCTCAGTTTCCCCGTGTGCAAAACAGAAGGGTTTTGAACTAATAAATAGTATGACACTTCCTTTCAGCTTGAAATCCTTTGGGGGAAAAGACCCCAGGAAAGCGGCCAAGCTAGGATTCAAACCTGGGTTGTTTCCAAATACTGGGTTTCCCTTCCTCTGCATTTTAGTATTTCCTGGGCTGGGCTGGAAACGTTGGAGCCCAGGCTCCAGGATAAGAGTAGCCACACTATAATAGAAATGTTTCTGGCTGGCATGAGGAGAGGTGGTTTTGGTGGAAGCTTGTCTGTGGGGCTGGGAGGGCTGAGGGGGAGGCAGAAGCATGCCATCCCCAGAAGTTCCTACGGGCACCTCCGGGTTTTGGCATCTTGAGGCAACGTCCCAGTTAGCCCACCCTGGTTAATTCATTCCCAATATTCCCTCTGGCAATCAGGCCAGGCTGGCAAATGGAAAAAAAAAAAACTTTAATTATTTTTGTACAATCAAAAGTCCCAAGACCTGGCCCTCCATCCGGTGCACCTACTCCCCCTTTCCCACCCCTACATCCCAGGCGTGCTGCCCCCCTTCCCCTCCTAAGCCCTTGGCTCCTAAGGGGTGAGGTCTGGATGGAGGGTGACCTTAGCCCTGAAGCCTGCACCTGGTGAGCTGGGCCTCTGGTCTACCCTCCCCAGAGTGCCAGGGCTGCTCTGACTCCCAAGAGCCTTCATGTTAGCCCTGGGCCCTTTCCTCAAATGGAGCAATGAAGGAGAAGGAGGGACTTGGGAAAGATGCAGCATCTGGGGAGGGGGGGGCTGGCTGGGATCCCCCAAGTTGGCTCAGCCTCCAATTTGGGGATCACCAAAGCTTGAATCTGTGTGTCCATCCCATCACCTAGTAATTACCGGTGGGCCTGGTAGAAGCTCTGCTCTGCCCAATGGGGCTGGTCCATTTGCACTCACACCCACACCCACAACCCCCACCCCCACCCCACCCGGTGCTCAGCATCAGGCTTTGTCCACTTTGCAGTACAGGTACATGGACACGATCATGGCAGCCAGCTGTGGGGTGGGGGAAAAAGAGAAAGTGGGCTGAGTAGAGCAGGGGCATTCAGGGGATGGGGTACAATGGCAGGGAGGGAGGGAGGATTGTTTTCCTTCTCTTTCCCCCACCATGCACTACCCCTCTCTGGCCTTAAGAGTACCCAGAGAAAAGCCCACCCCCTCCAGGAAGTCTCCCAGGCCCATTGGCTCTGCCCCAACAAGGACTGAGCAGGGCCCTCGGCTACAACCAGTTGGGGATAAGAAGTGGGTAAGTGGGTGCTGGAGCCCTCTCCCCGCCCTGCCCAGCCCAGCCCAGCCCATGCTGAGCCCTCACCTCTAGTGCCCCGAAGCCAGCAGCCACGCCACCCGCGACAGCCGCATTGGTGCGAATGCTTTGCAAGAGCTGCTCAAAACAGCCCTAGGGGAGTGGGAAGGAGGGGGGAAAGGAGGAGGATTCAGGGGTCAGCACTTGTCCCCAGCCCCAAGCACCCCCATCGCCTCAGTCTCCCTCAGAGGCTTCATCTCCTCCCTCTCTTCTCATAGCTGGGTCCTTGCCCCATCCTGACTCCTCTAGGGCTGCCGCCTCTATTCCACCTGCTCCCACCCCAGGCCAGACCCTCCTGACCGTCCGCCAGGACTTTGGCAGTAATAACGCCTTCTGCCTGACTTTTCACACTCACTGATCTTGCCCTGGCCCTCCCCTGGTCAAGAACCTTTGGGGGCTCCCTCTCACCACCAAGAGAGGCTGCCCTCTCTCTTACCTTGACATCGGCCTCCTCAGCCAACTCTTTAGAACAAGAGACGGTGTCGTTGGCACAGCAGAACGAGGGGAAATTGCCGTACTTTTTGACGTATGGGGAGTACGTAAAGTCTGTGTAGTTATTGAAACCACAACAATGGAGCTGGGGAAAGGAAGGGCCAGTCAGGGCCTGGGGAAGGAGTCTACCCTCACCGCCTCAGACCAAGGGGCTCCCTGAGAGAAGAGCTATGCCCCCTCAGTCTGGGTGCTCCCCAGAGCAGAGCTGTGCCCCCCAGTGTGGGTGCTC